TTTTTTTTTTTTTTTTTTTTTTTTTTTTTACCTTAGGCTTAAGAACCCTTTAGAAATATCAACAAAACTAAGCTGACTTAAAGAAATGGAATATTTGAAGACAGAAAAAGCAGTAACTATTAGACGATGTGATTCACTGATTTAGTTCCAAACAGTGATCAATATCGGTATAAGAATACTTTTAAGTTAAATATTGTCTAAATAGTTTTAAAAAAACATTTATTATTTTTATTCATTACAAAATTAAAAAGAATATTTACTTTCTAAATTTTAAAAACGAAGTTTAAATATAATAGATAGATATCTCATTAAAGTATTATTTAAAGATAAAGTAAACTAATGATTTTAATTTCACTATAACATAAAAATATTTAATTAATTTAAACATTGTATTTCTTTTATTCAACCTGAGCATCGTATTTAAATAATATAGATTATTAATGAATGCAATTGGAAACATTCAAATAAATTGTTCAGAGTTATAAAGAGATTTAACAGTTTTTTTTTTTTCCAGATTACAGTCGTATTTTATTTTGCAGACAATTTTTTGTCAGTGTTCTTAAGAAATTTTTAGTTCACCACTCTACTGCCAAAGCATTTCTGCTAAATTTTTGTTTTCGACTTGATCAAATACGGTCACAATGTTATTAGCAACAATACTAAGCACTAACAAAGGCTGTAAAACATTATTGAAGAAATTTTTTGCGGCCCGTTTTTTTCATAATTCTTCCTCGTTCATTTTTCCTCTAATTTATAATAAAATATTCATCCGAGAAACTTCCACAAAAAAATATATATACAGACAAACGAAAATGCAAACGAAAAAAAAATTGACACCGTTGTAGGCCAGCAGCAACATAACATTGATTAGCAAGAAGCGCAGTGGTACAGCGATTGGATTTTCCAATTAGGAACAAAAAAATTTATATGAAATAGATAAGTCATGTGTTCATTTTATAAGATAATAGCATTTGACATTAGAACGATGGTTTTCACTTTTGTTAAATTTTAATAAAAAGCTTAAAAATTTTCATCTTATGCTTTGCTCAACTGCTTATCTGTTTATCCGAGTGCAGTTTATAATTACTTTTTCAGAGGCGATTAAGATTTGGGTACAGTGCAGTCCGGAAATGAAACTGCTCATGGTAAGCTTTGGCGTGGGGCCATTTCCAGAATTGCCACAGTTTTATAAGAGTATCAGAAAATTTGGTTTGAAAGTACTCACCGTCGTTGCTTTTTGACTTCTCTTACCAAATCACTAAATGCGACTAAATTAGTCCAAAAAGCTTCAAAACCCTTCTCAATTTCCCAGACTAGATGTTGATACTCTACCGGCACTGAAAATCCCCACTTTAATGTCGCTTGCCTCAAATACAAATTTTGTTTTGAAATTTTAGTTAATTACAGACCATAGAGCAAAGCTCAAAAACTTTGCAACTAATAGTAGTTAAAAAAAAAACAACTGTTTCCTTGGTTTTTCAGATAACTAGCACTACTTTGAATTAAGAAAAAATCCGCAAAAACGTGAAGTTCTAAATTTAGAATTTTGAAGATTGAGACTACAAATGCTGCTCCGTATAAATGACTTTCTTCTACGTTTTTGAGCTTTATTATATTGTTCGGTAAAAGATGAAAAGTAGAATCTGATAATTTGTAAAAGTCAACGGATTCTATTTTTCATAAAGATTAATTGATAAATATAACCTCTGAACCGATAATAATATTGCAGACCAAACTTGCTGATCTTGACAATTACGTAAATTGCACTTGCGAGAATGCTTCCACAATACCGAATTAGTACCTGTGACCAGTCATCAAATCATTAAGAAAAGAGGAAGAAAAAAAGCAGCATTTTTTGAAAGTTACCGGACGAGCACAAAAGTGCAGCGTTGACGATCTCTAAGTTAGCTGTCGTTCCAATGAAGCAAATACTTTATTTACCAAACAAAAATTTATGTTGTTTGACTATGGAATAAAAAACAAATACCTTATACATATCAAATTACTAACAAGCGGATTGTCGAAGAAAGCATTTCTAAACGTGTTATAAAGAATTTTTCTGCTTCTCTTAAACGCATGCATACGCTTCCTCCTGATCCAGAGCGCTGATCTGTTTTGCAAACAACAGACTTCTTCCATATTTGACAAAAAACATTTTGCCTGGATTCCTTAAAACTATCAGATTCCTCACTTCCAAAACTCAAAACTAGCCCGAGAAACGATGCTGGAAAAACGTCTTCAATAAGAACCTGTTTCAACAGAAACAGACAGAACAGTAAAAACGATAATAGTCTTTTATCGATTTTGAACTGATGGCACAGGTTAGAATAATCCCCATTTGCGCTATTGCTGCAATGTTTAATAGAACGGTTTACTAAAACGATAGCTAATCTAATAAATAGACGCTTTCACTCACAGCAAAAGCCATCCTCATAATCTACTCCATCGACAAAACAAAAATGAATAATACTTGTAAGGTGGTGCAAAACTTGGACGAGCAAAGTCCGAATTAAGGCTTTGAGATGATATCGTAATGGTACAATCTAAAGAAAAAAAAGGACGTTCCTGAAAGATGCAAATATTTGTGGTAAAGCTGGAAGTACCTCATATTTAACTAAAGCAACCAAAAGAGTTTAAAAGTTGCGATCGAGTGACTGACCAAATGGAGATAAAATTTGCAAAACCTTTGAAGCAAAGAAAACTTCGCAATAAAATGAGGTTTTCTTGCAGGTTGACGGCCTTTGAGCGCTGATTGGTTGGCTGCTTTTCCGGCCGAAAAGTTGCGAAGGGACACTGTAGGAAATAGCGACAGAACATAAGGGGACAGCGGAAAAAAGGAGGGGACAGTGGCAAAGAAAGGAGACAGCAGCACAGGAAGCGCCCGCACACCGAAGCTGTGCTGAGCAAAGATGCTTTCACCCCATCGTTGTCGCTGTTCCCTCCACTTGATTTACTGTTGTTAGCTTGTTAGCTGCCAAGATTTCATGCACACCTAATAGCAGCCATTTGGCAATTTGCCGACCGAACACACCTCAGACTGATTAATAGTGTAGTCGAAAATCAAAACACTGACTCTTGAAACGACAATGTTTGTTAGGTATTATTGACTTCTGGCAAAGAGCCAATTGAACCAAAGGCTTTACTCAAAACATTTTCCTCAAGTAGTGGCATGCGGGATGTTGTTTCATGTCCTGATTTCTGTTCCTTGTGAACGGATGCGTATGTT